CGAATATAATGCGAAAAATTCATAAATAACCATTTTTATGCCTCGTCAATCAAATTTAGCCACATAATCAAAAGTCAACCTTATTTAGCCACTAAATTAGTACGGGAAAGTATTATTGACTAAATTACCCCTACTCGATTTCTAAATTTACGCAACACGACCTCACACTCTGTTTCAGCATAATCTTGCGGCATAATCTACAGATTGAAGTAAGCTCTCAATTATTCTTCTAATTCTTGAATTTTCTGGTTTGATCTCAATGCTTTAATCTGTGCTAATCTCGATTTTTTCTCAATGCGTTAATCTGTGCTTAATTGTATAATATATCTTTTTATTTGTAATTCAGATCGTAACTAATAAAATCTGCATTGTTCTGATATTATTATAAATTTTATATGAAAAATCTTTATTCTGTGCTTAATTGTATAATATATAAATGTAATTTAATTTAAAGTAATTTATACTATAGTACTGGAGGTATCTTTAATTCAAAATCATAAAAAATAACATAAAATGGTGCAGAACAAAAAGGCAGTATAATATGTTGGACTTTTAATTAATATCTAAAACTCAGAAACGTCCAATTGATTATACTGGAAGTATCTGTGATTCAAATAAGAATAACACATCTAAGTTTTTAAGTGTCACGATCCAAAACCCAATTAGTCGTGATGGCACCTAACCCAACCCGCTAGGTAAGCCAATTACCAACTATCCAATTCCAATAAAATTAATAAGGCAATTAATTAAAAGAAAATAGATAAAACAATACATTTCCCCAAGAACTGGTAGTACAAATCATGAGCTTCTAAGAATAGAATTTACAAAACTGATATGAAATAATACATCATCTGTTTGAAATGCACATGAACAGATTGTTATAAATCTAAAGCTACCATGAATAAAAGGAAGCTACAACCGGAACGTAGGTACATCTTCAGATCCAGCTCCCAACGAACACAGCAACATAAGCAACCAACATCTGCACGTAAGGTACATAAGTATAGTAAGAGTATAACCGACCTCATGTACTCAATAAGTAACAAACCTAGCCTTAGGTTGAAAGTAGTGACGAGCTTGTACCAAGGTCGGGTCCAAAACCAATAGTCCACAACAGTCCATAACCACGTAAAGCAAATAATACAAGAAGTAACTTAGAGATAAAATGCTCAGCTAAATCATGATTTCAAAAAATAGTTTTTCCTTTCAAGTATATCAGTGAAAACCTAAATTATTTACCGAAGTTGCCAAAAATATGAATAAGTTTGAAAATAATAATTTTTCCAAAATTCCTTTCAATAATACGTGAGATGTTTCATTTTCTTTTCAGATAACCCGTGTAAAATAAATGCATCACTATGCCCATCTGTCAACATGTGTGAGAAACTATGAATGATGTGATGCTGTACAGCATGAAGAAAATACATCTCTATGCTTGTATGTAATGTGTGCATGTCAATGCGATGCAACTCAGTGATAAAGTCATATTCATACTCTCAGATTATCATTTCACTCAGTCCTCCCAGTCACTCAGTCGTCCCAGTCACTCAGTTCTCCCAGTCACTCAGTCCTCCCAATCGCTCGGCACTCGGCACTCAGTAGGTACCTGTGCTCACTGGGGGTGTGTACAGACTCCGGAGGGGATCCTTCAGCCCAAGCGCTATAATCTGCACGGACAACTCACGTGCTGTACGGACACCTCACGTGCTATATTATCAATATCTATATCTGTACAGATAACTCACGTGCTATAATAAAGCCTATAAGGCCTACTACAGGCGGGCAACCCCGATCCACATAATAATAAAGTATATAAAGCCAATATGGCCTGCTGCGGCATGCAACCCGATCCCATAATTATCCTCACAATCAGGCCCTCGGCCTCACTCAGTCATCAATCTCTCCAGTCTCTCTCATGGGCTCACAATGTCATAAAAATAGCCCGAAAATGATGATATGATGTATCAATAAATAACAACAGAGACTGAGATATGATATGTAATTATATGAATATGACTGAGTATGAATTTTCAATTTAAAACAAATAATTCACAGCAATATGACTTCTGTGGGCCCTAATAATACTGGCACATAGCCTCAACATGATTTTTAATATGATTCTCAGCTCAATTTCTTTAACATAAAACTATATAGAAAATGCCAAGATTATGTGACTGCAAAATTCCATGGAAACAATTATGTCACAATTTTCATGGTGCACTCCCACACGCCCGTTACCTAGCATGTGCGTGACTTCCCAACAATTCACATAATACATATATTCAGGGTTCATACCCTCAGCTCCAAGATTAGAAGAGTTACTTACCTCGAACAAGCCGAATCCAATGTCGAGCAAGCTAAACAATGCTCCACAAATTTCATTCTGCGCGTAACAACTTCCGAACGGCTCAAATCTAGTCACAATTAATTTGATTCAGTCAACCCAAATTATAGGAATTTATTCCATATCAAAATACTAATTTTTCCACAAAATCCGAAATTGCACTCAAAAATTGCCCTTGGGGCCCATGTCTCGGAACCCGACAAAAGTTACAAAATATGAACGCCCATCCAACCACGAGTCCAACCATACAAATTTCACCAAATTCCGACATCAACTCGACCCTCAAATCTTCAATTTACCATTTTCAACCCAATCTTTACCCATTTGAACTCAACAATCTTTCCATAAACCTTATTGATATGTATAAATAATACTATTACACCCAAGAATCATACTCTTAATCACCCATCTTTACCCAAACTCTAAATTGAAGACTAGGGGTTAGAACCTTACCTCTTGGGTAAAGATGTTGTGATATTTCCTTGTTGGATTTCCAAGCTTGAACAAGATCTTGATGAACAAAGCACTTGAGCTTCTTCCTCTCTCTAGAACACTCTCCCTTCTCTCTAAAAATGTCAGATTTTTGCTCTAAAATGAGTCCCAAAGCCTATTTATCAAAATTGGGTCGTTTTATAAAAATAAAAAAATTAACCCCCCGAAAGCAGGTCTGCGGTCGCATAATAGGTATGCGGGTCGCAAAATGGTCGCAAAAATCAGTGCCCAGAACTAGGCTGTTGTGGTCCATTCTGCGACCAGTTTGCGGTCGCAGAAGCACTTTCGCGATTGCAGAATTATTCTGTGATCGCAGAATTGTCGCCAAATCTCATTTCTTTCCAGCCTTTGGTAATTTGGTAATAACTTCTTGTAGGAATATCCAAATGACGAACGGTTTGAAGTATTAGAAACTAGACCCAAAGATTTTTCATTTGATAGGTAATACACCATATAACACTTTGCATAATGAGAGTTATGCTTATTTGAAGTTAGGTCTTATGCGAACTCACTTGAAACTTTAGTCTATTATGAAATTTCCAACTTCTACATTCGATGCCGAAACCTATCGAATCAAGTCCGATTGACCTCAAATTTTGCACATAAGTCATAAATGACATTACTGACCTATTACAATTTCCGAAATCAGATTCCAACCCCGATATCAAAAAGTCAACCCCCCGGACAAACTTTCCAAAAATTCAACTTTCGCCATTTCAAGCCTAATTCTACTACAGAGCTCCAAATAATTTTTCGGACATGCTCCTAAGTCCAAAATAACTGTACGGAGCTATTGGAATCATCAGAATTCAATTCCGAGGTCGTTTACATATAAGTGAATATCCAGTCAACTTTTCCAACTTAAGTTTTCAATTATGAGACTAAGTGTCTCATTTCACTCCGAAATCCTTCCGGACCCAAACCAACTAACCCAATAAGTCATAAATCAACTGTAAGGTATAAATTGAGCAGTAAATGGGGGAACAGGGTTGTGATACTCAAAACGACCGGTCGGGTTGTTACATTAAGGTTCCCCTAATGTCTTGAATAAAATGTTAGACTTTTATGATTACATATTTCAAAACTATAAAGTCTACAGCATATAGTACTGGAGGTATATTTAATTCAAAACCAGAAAAAATACTGCATAAAATGGTGTTATAGTGCTTGATTCAAAACCAAAACAAAACACTAGTATAATACGCTGGAGCTTTCTGAATTAATATGTAAAACTCATAAAATTCCAATGTATTATACTGGAAGTATCTTTCATTCGAACTACTACAAAAAATTATGAATAAAATGGTATAGAACAAAACGCCAGTATAAAATACTGCACTTTTCTTAATTTAATATGTAAAACTCAAAAAATTCAGTAGATTATACTGGAAGTATCTGTGATTCAAACCAGGAGAAACACATCTAAATTTATAATGCTTCCCTAATATTGTGAATAAAATGCTAAACTTTTATGATTACATATGTAAAAGATACAGACTGTGCAACATATAATACTGGAGGGATCTTTAATTCAAAACCAGAAAAGACAATATATCAAATGGTGCAAAAAGATAACCCAGTATAATATACTGGACTTGTCTTAATTAATATAAAAAATGCAGAATCTTCCAGCTTATTATACTGGAAATATCTGTGATTCAAATAATAGATTGAAGCCTTTTGAATTCATATATAAAACTCATAAAATTCCTAATATCTAATTATTTGTGTACATTAAATGCAAGATGCATACAAATTTCTTGATTATTGCTTTCGATGGCAAATGGACACCAGATTATAAGTATTTAGATCATAAAACAAAGCTTCTGCTTATAAATGATGGGACTTCATTTGACGAATTCGTGAATAAGATTTTTCAAGTTATAGAGTTCGACAGGAACAAGTTTGAAGCAACAGTATGGCTTAATATCAATCTAGGTACTAGTAAGGGAATACATGTGACAAAAGATGAAGAACTTACTTCCTATATGGTTCTTTTTAAAAAAACGATCCATACTACAAAGGTTCCAAATTTGTTGTTGATATATCAGAAATACTTTCTGAAAAATTTATTAGATATCAACAACAAGAAGGTAATACAATAATAGAGATTGACAATCAATAATTATTAAAGGGAACCACATATGTTTCAGAAGAGCAACTGATGCTGATTTCTGAAATACCAGAAGAGCAAGACATTCCGATTTATGAAATTACAATGGAAAATGAGAGTGTAATTCCTGTAGAAGATCAACACTTTAAAACACTAGACACAATTGAAGGGAGAAAAAGGAAAGCAAAAGGAAAGGCAAAAGAATCCCCATCAATAATACTAAAGGAAAATGCATCATTGGATGATGTAAAACTGGGGTCTATTTTTCTAGACAAAAATGCTATGATTAGATGTTTTTGCTTAGCAGCAATAAAGGAGCACTTTGAGTTCTATGTGAAAAGATCAAGTAATACAAGATACTCTTTGGTATGTACTGATGAAAAGTGTGGTTGGACTGTTCGAGGTTCAAGAATTAAGGAATCAACACTTTTTAAAACAGTTAAATTTCAGAGAACACATGAATGCTCGGTTGACATTAGAAAGTCACATCAAAGACAAGCAACTTCAAATGTGATTAGAGATTACATTATTGACAACTTAAGAGACATAGCTACTGAAGTAAAGCCTAAGTTTGTCATTTCAGAAATGAAAAGAGCACATGGAATAGATGTTGGTTATGAAAAAGCATGGCGTGCTATTCAAAAGGGGATATCTTTATTAAGAGGAACAACAGAAGAAAATTATGAGCAACTGCCATCATATTTGTATATGATCGAACAACAAAATCCAGGATCATATACTAATATTAAGAGAGATGCAGAAAACAGGTAAATTTCTTGTGTTTGTGGCCACACATATGCTAATATCCTTTAGTATTCAGCTTGTCATATCGTAAAACTAAATTTTATTTACTTTTCAATGTAACAGGTTTGTTTACATGTTTTTTATGTATGGGGCGTCAATTTCTGGGTGGAAGTATTGTAGATCACTTATTGTTGTTGATGGAATATTTCTAAAAAATAAATATAAAGGTGTTCTATTAGTGGCAGTTACAAAGGATACAAATAACCAGATTTTCCCTATAGCATTTGGGGTAGCGGATTCAGAGAATAACGAATCATATGAATGGTACTTCAGAGAATTAAGAAAAGCAATTGGCATTCGTAAAGATTTAATGTTTTTGTCAGATCGACATAAGGCCATTGCAAACGGAATTGCAAAAGTTTTCCTTGAGTGCTACCATGGTATTTGCATATATCATTTAGAGAAGAATCTAAAGCAAAGAAGAGTGAGAAACACTGTAATAAACCTGTTTCAATGTGCTGCAAGAGTATACATTCAATCAGAATTTGATGGCTTTATGTCCCAAATAGCTGCTGTTGATAAGAAAATATTTGACTATTTGATGGAGGAAACACCAGGAAGATGGGCTCGTTCACATTGTCCAAGACGGCGATATGATATGCTAACAACAAATATTGTTGAGTTAGTGAATAATGTTTTGAGACGTGCAAGAGAATTGCCACTTTTAACAATGATGGATTTCATACAAAAAAAATTGTAAATCTGGTTCTATGAAAGAAGGACAGCAGCAGAAGGAATATTCGGTGAATTATCAAACTGGGTAGAAGCAACATTGGAAGACAAAATTAAATCAGCTTTTACATTTAGAGTATTACCCATTGATCGACTCAAATTCAAAATCAAAGTCAAAGAAGGGGGTATAGAATTTATTGTTGATCTAGACAAAAGAACATGTGATTGTTCTGAATTTCAGCTAGATGAGATACCTTGTGAACATGCAATTGCTGCAATTGACAGTATATATCAAAAGAAATCGGCTTTCTGCTCCGCCTATTATACAAGGGACTTTTGGTTGAAAACATATGAAGGGCAAGTAAATTTTGTAGGTGATTTAATGTCACGACCCAAGTTCTCCCTCCTTGAATCGTCGTGACGGCACCTAGTCTCTACGACTAGGTAAGCCTAACACTTTCGCAGAAATGAAACAAAAACATTAAAACTAGCAATTTACAGGTAGATTCTAAATAATAAATTAAGATGCCACTCGGCATATACCACGGTCAGTCTCGAAATGTACATAACTCTCCCAAAACCCGGAATATCGTAAGTCACAAGCTATAGAAAGAGAACAATGTTTCTATATTCCAGAATCTAACAAAAAGAAATACAAGAAGTGTTTGACATGGGGAAGAGTAGATAGGGACTCCGAGGTCTGCGGACACGGTAGATATACCTTGAAGTCTCTACAGCTGCCTCGCCTCACTGATAATGCGGCTGATAAGTGGTACCTGGATCTGCACACGAAAAATATGTGTAGGGAAGGGCATGAGTATACCACAACGGTACCCAGTAAGTGCCAAGCCTAACCTCGGTCGAGTAGCGACGAGATCAGGTCAGGGCCCTACTGGTATATATATAATAAACTAAGAAAGAATGAAATATTGCAGTAAAAATAAGTATTGAAATTTGACAAGAATGAAATCATAGCAAGTCAACAGCTCAGTACACAAAAATAACAACATGGGATCTCCTAGGATACCGTCCCGTAGTCCCAAACATAAATGTGCAAAAATAAGGGGGGACCTACCGGGATACCGTTCTGTAGTCCCAAAGTAAATATGGAGAGCAGGGGGATCTACCGGAATACCGTTCTGTAGTCCCAAAGTAAATATGCAGAACAGGGGGATATACTGGAATACCGTTCCGTAGTCTCGAAGTAAATATGCAGAGCAAAGGGATCTACCGGAATACCGTTCTGTGGTCCCGAAGTAAATATGCAGAGTAGAGGGATCTACCAGAATACTGTTCCGTTGTCCCAAAGCAAATATGCAGAGCATGGGGATCTACCGGAATATCATTGTAACGACCCGGTCGGTCGTTTTGAGAATTTAAGTCTCGTTCGATGGCATAAGACCCTGCACAACTTCGTATTATGTGTATTGACTTGCATGCGTGATTTAATTCAGTTACCGGATGATTCAGAGTGATTTGGGACACTTAGTACCTAAAACCGAAGCTTAAGTCTTAGGATTTTGACTGTCGTCGGAACTGTGGGAAGACGACTCTGGAATGGAGTTCCTTCGGTTTCGTTAGCTCCATTGGGTGATTTTGGACTTAGCAGCGTATCTGGACTGTGAATCTGAGGTCTGTAGCTGATTTAGGCTTGAAATGGCGAAAGTCAATTTTTTGGAGATTTGGACCGGAAGTGAACTTTTTTATATCAGGGTCGGAATCCGATTCCGGAAGTTGGAGTAGGTCCGTAATGTCAATTATGACTTGTGTGCAAAATTTGAAGTCATTCCGGATTGATTTGATGTGTTTCGACATAAGTTATAGAATTTGAAAGTTCAAAGTTCATAGATTTTGATTTGGGATGCGATTCGTCATTTTAATGTTGTTCGATGTGATTTGAGATCTCGAGCATGTCCGTGTTAGGTTATGGAACTTGTTTGTGTGTTTATACGGGGTCACGAGGGCCTCGGGTGTGTTTCGGGGTGGTTTCGGATCATTTCGGGTTGTTTTGGAACTGTTGTATCTGGTATCTGATTTCCTTCTTCGCGAACGTGAAGAACAAATTCTGGGGGTGTTGGATTTGGCCTTCGCTAACGCAAAGTAGGACTCGCAAATGCGGAGAGATGCCTGATGAGCCTACGCGAACGCGAGGGGCCAGTCGCGAATGCGTATAAGGAAATGGAGGAGTTAGGCCTGAGGTCGTTTGGCCTTCGCGAACGCGAACGCGAAGGAGCAGGTCAGCTGGTCATCGCGAACGCGATAAGGATGCCGCGAATGCGAAGAGGAAATGTGGTAGCAGGAACTGTTGGCCTTCGCGAATGCGACACTGGTCACGGAACGCAAAGAAGAATTTGAGGCAGCTGGGTTTTTGGCCTTCGCGAACGCGAGACAGAGGTCGCGAACGCGAAGAAGACCTATCTAGGCAGAATTAAAAGTCCCAAAAATGGGGGTTTGAGTTCATAACACAAAATCAAAATAGTAGCTCGGTAGAAGGCGATTTTTGGAGAGATTCTTGCGTGGGTGTTTGGGGTAAGTGATTCTTATCCAGTTTTGATTAATTTCCATGATTATGCATTTGAATCTATCATTTAATTCGGATTTAAATGGAGAAAAATCAAGATTTTTGTAGAATCTTCCAAAAAAATAAATTTATGATTTGGAGGTCGAGTTGTTATTGGAATTCGATAAAATTAGTATGGTTGAATTCGCATCGGAATGGGTGTTCGAATTTCATGAAAATTATGTCGGGTTCCGAGGGGCGAGCCCCGCGTTGACTTTTGTTGACTTTTTGGAATAAATTTTTAAGTCGACGTATTATTATCCGTAATTATTTCCGATAAATTTTAATGAAGTTATACAATTAATTTGGATAGATTTGAGCTGTCTGGAGGTCAATTCAAGCAAGAAGGCTATTTTGGAATATCAGCCTAACTTCAAAAAGGTAAGTGTCTTGCTTAACCTCGAGTGGGGGAATTGCCCCTTAGGCATCGAGTCTTATGTGCCATTTGTGATATGTGAAAAGCCGAGTACGTGAGGTGACGAGTACGTACTCGGGTTAATATGTGCAAAATTTATTGAGTTAAAGTCTAGGGAATATTGTATAGTAAATTGGGTAATTGTTGGCATATATTTAATTATTTATTTGCCATGCCTCAAATCACATTTATTGAATTTGTTTTATATGACGATTTGATGTAATTATTACTTAAAATAATTATGAAATTTCGTGAGTATTGTTGGTTTAATATTTCTTGGAATTTAATTTAATTATGAATTTTCCTTATGCAAATAATTAATTAAGCAAGTTTAAAAAGAAGGGTTAATATAATTATCTAAATTTGGATTAATGAAGATTTTGCTTTATGTTGAGTAATTTCTATCTCTGTTGATTGTTTTTGGAGTGTTATAAACATTGTGTGGAGTTTTCGTCTATTTGTTGTGAAAATTAATTGACTTGGTTGTATCTTTGGAATTTTTGTTGTGGCCATCGGGCAAATTGTGATATGAAATTATTTTGTTATGTTACCGTGATAATTTTTCGTATAAATTGTTGTGTTGTGTGAGTTATTATTTTGAGGAGATAAGGGTGGCATTTCACCGTTGATATTATGTGGGTATAAGGGTAGTATTTTACTGTTGTTGTGTTTGTTGGAATATTATCTAGGCGGAGCGATAAGGGTGGCTATTGGTATTGTTAGGGCACAGGGATAAGGGTGGCTATAGGAGAGATAAGGGTGGCTATTGTCAGGGATGGTATGTGATGATGAGGAGTGGTTGCATTGGTGATTTTTATGTGATGTTGTGATTTTTCCTTGTGTTTATTTTTATAACTTGTGCAATTTGTCTTTTTGTTGGTAAATTGATAATAATCGGATTTATGTTGAAATTGGGAGTCTGTGGCTATTGCCAGGTGAATTATAAAATGAAATATGGGCATGAGGTGCCGTGAGTAGATAATGAGGATATTGGCACGGGAATTATCCATGCAGTTATGATATGAAATGAGGGCACAAGGTTCCAGGAAAATATAATAATTTAATTATGGGCACGAAGTGCCGTGGAAATATGAAAAATAGGCTGAGACCCGTGTTTATGAAAAAATATGAAAATGGGATGAGACCCGTGGTTGAATGATTATGAAATGAAGTGTCACAAAGTGACTTTTTAATTGAAGGAATTATATTCAAAATATTTAATTGGAAGGATTTTTATGCAAAAGTATTTATTGGAAAGGTTTACATTCGAAAGATATTTATTTAAAGAAATTTTATTTGAGAAAAAATTATTCAAAGGAAGCATATTTGAAAAATATTTATTGAAGAAATTATATTTGAAAAATAATTATTTGGAAGAATTTTATGTGAAAGATATTTATTTGAAGGACTTGATTTACTTGGGTGTACTTGTATTTATTATTTGTTAAGTAATATTAACAGAGTTCTTGTTGCTATGCCGGCATATCATTGGTTGATTTGTGTTACCCTTATTGTTATTTGTTTCCTATTATTTTGTATATTATATTACACAGGTTATTAGACTAGTGAGTGTCTTGACTGTACCTCATCTCTACTCCACTGAGGTTAGTCTTGATACTTACTGGGTACTGACCGTGGTGTACTCATACTTCACTTCTGCACATTTTTGTGCAGAGCCAGGTATTGGAGATATCGGACTTGAGCAGAGTTAAAGTGGGATAGTAAGGATTCAAGGTAGAGCTGCTTGGTTGTCGCAGTCCCTTGGAGTCTTTTCATTTCATTGTACTGTTAATTTTTAATCAAATGGTATTGTATATTTGGTCCTTGTGATCATTCCATGTATTCAGTTAGAGTTCGTAACTCAGTACTACCAGTCTTGGGAGGTTGTATATTCATATTTGTTCCGCTGTTAGTTTTGATTACTTATTTAATTAAAAACAGGCTTCAAAATGTAATTGAAATCGGCTTACCTAGTCTTAGAGACTAGGTGCTATCACGATGCCTGTGGTGGGATTTTGGGTCGTGACAAGTTGGTATCAGAGCTCTAGGTTCA